TGAAATTTCGCCAGCGCATAGCCTGGCTTGCATTGACTTTGTTCCTGGGTACATCATTCGCATTTGTTTATTATGTGTTTGAAATAAACAGTCAGTTCAATCGGCTCGCCCTAGAACATGTGCAGGAAGAACATGGAGGGGACATGCGTGCAGGGACATTTTTGGAGCACGCCACGCATCTACCCCTCGCTGTCTGGATGCTTATTTTTCTTCTCCCATATCTCCAGGTAGGCTTTTGCTGTGTGTACACAGTGCATCTACTAACTGAATTTGTATCCAATTTTATCATGTTGCTATTTTTGTATAATTATGAAAAGGTTGAAAGTTAAGGTTTATTTCATCGGTCATATTAATGTGGGAGCTATTTTCACAAGGTCGGCTAAAATATTACAAAGTAACCAAAATGTTCAAAACCTTCGGGTTTTTTTCTTAAATTTTCGGAGAGGAATGCGATTTTTACTGAACAATGCTATTTCTTCTTATACTGAAGGTGAAAAGATATCAGATATATACAAAATTTGCACAAGAAAGTTGTTCACTTTTTTAACTCCTTAACTAGGAATAAAAAACGCCTAAAATAATATTCATACAGGTAACAAGGATTATACTATAGATGCTCTTGCCTCTTCCAAAGAAAAATACAGCTCAAACAAACATCTTTTATATGTATTGGAAAACATCTGTAGTTAGATTAACTAGTGGGATTTTTATTCTTGGAAGTTGTAACCTCCCAATTGAAAAGCAGTGCATGATGACATAAATAATATGAGTTGACATTTGTGTCCACACCAGGGGCTCATAACATTGATTTGTAATTATATTGTTCTTTGTCCTCTCAGTTTTAAGAGTCCATCAACTTCACTCTATAGCTCCCTGGCTGGCCTAGTCATTCTGTTCTATCCTTCCTATTCAGTTGGGAACTTAGATTGTGGCTGCCTATTGATTGCTTAACATTATCTTCAATATTATTTCTGTTCGTGCTGTTTGCCAAGTCTCCATTTGTAGCGGAGTGAACTGAGAAAAGTAAGACATATAGTAAGATAGTGACTGCCCAATTGAAGTATTTATCCAGACCCTGTTTCTGCTCCCACTGCTTTCATGCCTTCACTGTTGGTGTAACTCTCCAACTCTTGTTTCATAAAAATAAAACTTTAGGACTTTCATCGTGTATTTCCTCAAGGAATTGAAACACACTTTTGCCAGTTATTGAAGACTATAAAGGGTAACTTTCTTACTAAACCTTTACTTTTTTTTTTTGTTGAGAGTTCAGATTACAGTTGGCTTGACTAGTGAATGCTTTTGTTTGGTGTTTTTTTTAATCGAAAATATTATAATGTACTGTAAAAGCTAGCTGCGTGAGTTGAATGTTTCAAATGTGTTTCTATTGACTCTTTCCATTAGGAGGAAGTTGATTGGTATTGAGGTCACAAGCATTAACATATTTGTCATGACACTGTGGAATCAGGCGCTTGTCAATTTTTTGGCATATGGAGTTATTGGTATCGTCTTAAAGCTTGTTCATTTGCCTTGCTTTCAATGAAAACAATACGAATTTATCTTGGATACAAGTCGAGATATTTGCGATTGAAGGAGGTGGGGGTCGCCTGGTTTCAGAAGTAAAATTAGCAAGAAAATGGCCGCCAAAGTTAGTTATTTCCTTAGCTGGAGAGTCCATGGAAACAGAAAATTTACATCTTTTATGCATTTGATTAACGTTGTTTCATTAAAATCCACAGTGAAATATGTTTTAATTGGGCATGAAAGGTGTTCAGCCGAAAAACAAAAATTCGATAAAAATTCCCAAACCTGAGGGGAAAATGTACCTGATTTCACTACGATGCCTCACATATTATATTCTTTCAAGTTTCACGGTCTTCTTATTTTGCTTCATGAAACGAACTGAGTGAGAATTGACTTGTCTTGCGTAAGAAGGGATTTCCTCACTAGAACTAGAAAGTAAGAAGAAATTTACCAACCTGAATTGCATTTTTTTTTTCAATTAGATTTCTTAATACGGTAAATATTTTCATTCTGGTCCCTCCTCAGATATTTGCATTACTCCTAGCCTGCACTCGCCCTGAGCCACGTCTCAGCCTGGCTTACATCTGGCCAAGCAGGTTGTTTGTGAAGTCACGGAAACTTCTCAAACGCTACCACCCACATGATAGCAGAGCTATCAACTCCAATGTTGTGTTCAATGGACATGTTGTTGTTTTTGATGCTTGATTCTGGATCAAGGTGAAATTTCATATTGTTATATAATGTTGTTCTTGAAGTCGGAGCAAGTTTGTGTTATAGTCAGGTAAGCCCACAATCCAAATGTGTATCTCTGTGAGGTCATGATGAAGCTTGATTTCAAATTAGAATTTTACTGCCACTATTGGAAGTTTGTTGTTCAAATCCTAATAGGATACAACTTTTTTGCATTCTTCATAGAATTAAAAAAATTATCTCTACCAAGTGCTCTGTCATCAGATTGACCAGAGTTATTTCTAGCAGGGCCTCTCACCTAACTAGTAAACCTCTAGGGAAAAATGTTTTTGTTAATAAGTTTCTCTTCATGTGTGAAACTTATGGGCCATGGCTCTAAGCAACTCTATTGTTGTTTTTCCAGCTGCCTGTTGGCTTGCACCCTACAGCTGAATTTTCTCAGCAGTTAAAATATCTCAAGTTATAATGTCATAGTCTCTTGACATTTTCCACAGTTCCAGACTGTATTTTGAACCCTGTTGACAAAAGAGCAAACGGTGTGGGTATTGTACAAATATATATATATTGTGCTCAGTATTTTCCTTTGATCTTAAAATTTTGGCATGTCATTCAAGTGTTCTCAGGCTGTTAAAGAACAGATTGGACTTCATTCTTATGATCACATATTTAAATCAGGCAGACAGGTATATTAGGAGTCCTGTCTGAGCTTTAGTTGCAGTTTGCTTTGTTGTTCCAGTCAAGTTTGTGGAACTTTGTGAAACCAAAGCTAGTAGGTTCTGAGTTTGGTGAGATGAGTACTTCCATACAAATCATTCAATTACATTTTATTTATATACATTCCTTTATTTCTGTAAAAGATGGGAATTCACTGTATTGTCTACTCACCTGGGTTACTGTAAATGTGGACTAAACAAATTTCAATATCGTTCATTCTCAGTAGAACCAGCAGGCTTGGTAAATTGTTAGCATGGGTTGTCTCAGTAAAATGTACCTGTACCTGTCGTAATGAAAGCGATAATTCTTAATGAAAAGTATTTCTGGTAGTAACAAGTTCCAATGTTTTAAACTGAAGTAGATGGAAAGATGAGTATAAACCTTCAAAGTGCCTTTCTCTTTTACACACGATAAAAAATTCTGTTTGTCATTTTCTTTTTCTTTTTGAATTGTTTTGTCATCCTTTGAATTTATTTGAAAGTATTAATGAATATGTGATTGTGGAATAACCTTTTAAACTTTCACTTATGTTAATAGTTTTCATTCCTGCATTCTGAAATGAATTTGTGTTTTTTTCTCCAGTATCTTCTTTAAAGCATAAATTAAGATAGTGCGTCTGTTTCCTCCATTTATCTAAATTACAGATTACTATATGTTCTTGTGATCTCATAGATGTCTTGATATTTTTTAATGGTTGGGAGGGGGGGGAGGCTGTGTTGATGAAGTCGAGGGGGGTTGTTGTTGTAAGACAAGACGGATGGTCTATCCGTACTTCAAAGAGATGAATTTTACTATTATAAGTGGCAAGTCATTTAGATCACTTTGTTAACATGTCGCTCTGGGTTGGTAACAGTCTTCTGTCTGTTTAGTCGCAATGAATACTCTGCGCTGTATAAGCTTGATGTTGTTGTTATTGTTGTCGTTGTCAATCCAGCAGTTGCGAGCTGTTGCCTTGCAACCCATTGCCATGTTGTAGAAGTTGTTGTTGTTATTTCTTTCTGTAGTATTAGCTGTTGCCCAAAGTTGGTGGTGGGAGGAATATCACTTTGTCGTGGAATAGACAAAGACTTTACCCGGAGTTCATTTTATCGTTTTTGATTTGTGATTATAAGTTATACACCTAAAAGTTTTGATATAGTTCAAATCTGAGTATTTTATGCGTGTTGGACATTTTGAGGATATTACTTATTGTATACTGTATGATATATATATGTATATGTACTCATTTGCTTCTGTATGCTTTTTTGATATCTTACAACTACTCAGTTGTTTGGTTTGTGTGGTTAAACTGCTTTTTTTTATTGGTTTTTTTTTTTAAGGATCGGCCTGGCTTTATCTTAGATGTATATTTTCACTGGCAAATTACATGACTTTTCATGCTTGCCTTTGACAGACAATCCAGTCCGTTAGGCAGTGTCATTTGCTCAGAAATGTGTTTTCTGTGACAGAGTTGAGCCTGAAGAATGAATGATATATGTTTTGTTAGTTTATGGGAGAAGATGTTCTTGCATGGTGGATGTTTGGAGATAAAGATGTATAACTGCTAGTAGGTGTTAGATTTTGGTTTATGAAGCCCCTTATATGAGTCTACTTTGCGTCTGGTCTGTTTGTAAAATAATTGCATGCCTTTTGAGTCTACTTTGCGTCTGGTCTGTTTGTAAAATAATTGCATGCCTTTTTAAAGTATTCAAAATTTAGCTATTGTGCTATGTTTGGACCGTTGGCATCAATAGTCTAGAAGTTAGGCTACCAGACTCCTAATCCTAATGATGAGATCATAGGTTCAAGCATTTGAGGCTTGGCTCGATTCGATGTTGTGTCCTTAGGAACGGCTCTCTTAATCTTTTTACTGCGGTGCTACATTTTCTTTTAGTGTTGGCTACTGCGGAGCTAAAAATAGAACGTGCAAATAACTATGCATAAGACGCCCAGAAATGTCAGTAACAGATCTATTTATGGATTGAGTCCTATGAAACTTTTCTTTTTTAAGTGCAGATTCGAAACTTTCTATTTCAAGCAGAAATTTTGGCATAACAGTGTTGGTGGTGGGGCCCATGTGGGGTAAAATCAGAGTG